TGTCAAGCGCCGCTGCTGCGCAGCCCTCTTGTCATTCAACGACAGATCGCTTGCTCTCGAATCTGTTGTACAAGGCACCCTATGCTTCAACAGCAACCACAATAAAAAGGTGCTAGTCATCAGTTTTGAGAGAAACAAATCCCCTTCATCACGTGAACGCACACGGACTTGGGTGCGCTCTGTCGGCGAGTGTTGTGACTCGCGAGTCTTCCGTGTCAGGGCAGAGCTACCACAAGCCAACCTCTTGGGCATCGGATGGGCATCAGCAAAGTACTATACCAGTAGTCGCTAACCTCGGGCCCCGATGGAGAACTGACGCAACAGCGACCAAAGAACGACGACAGGAACAACAACGACAACACCAACGACAACAACGATGGCAGCAGCAAAAGCAGCGACAGCAGTCTACACCGGAAGCCAATCCTTTTCATGCTGAGACCGCAAGCTCCGACGTGGCTGGGAACAAGGGAGCGCAGGCAGAACGCGCTTGCCCTGCACGACGCTCACGTGACACGCCACATCAAGCGCTATAATTTGCAGGTGCACATCCATGCATCCTGCGACACAAGAAGCGAACGATCGACAGCGAAAACGACACGCCAACGGCGCGGGAAAAAAGCCTTCAACACGGTACAGCCACCCTCACGACTGTTGCTGCCACTGTTGAGCAGCTCACCTTCTCGTGCTCCATCGCCGTCCGGACGACACGGCGGCGGCGGCGGCGGCGATGACCCGTCGGGAGAGGGTTCTCCTACCCCCGGAGGCGTCTCCTTGGGCAGGCTCCGCACGAGGTGGTTAGCGTCCGTTTGCCTCTCCCTTCCAGTCTCGTGGACCCGCACGGTATAGTAAGGCTCTTCGTCGTCCTGGTGGACCTGCGTCAGAGAGGGGGGGGGGGGGGTACTCATGTAAGCGCATGCTGTGGTTGGTAAAACATTGACCCCTAATCCCTACAACGCCGGGACCGAGCGATACGCTGGGGTTTTCGCGGGCCCAGGCCACGTTTAGCAAGGATGGACCGGAAAGCTGGTCAGCATCCTTGCGTTTGGGGGGAAAAGTCTCAGTACGCCGTTGCCCTGCACTGTCGTTTGGACCATTGTCTACGCACCAACCTTGCTTCTTAGGCGTGGCATCGATAGTTCCTACCCTTCGTGCAAACATCGTCGATATTCACCCGCTCTTAACGGGCCTGTCGTGATAAGCATGACCCGTATTGTGTCGGAGGAACGAGGGGGAAGAGTCAACAGCACAAACACCAAGAATAGCGGGCCTCTCGGATCCGTATCTACTGGTTCTCTTGCACCACTCAAAAAGACATGCTTCTGCGATTTTCCGCCTGTCAGAGCAATAATACTTTTCTACCGCTCTTGTGTGCGGTGCCCTGCTGGGCGATGCCCCTTGGTGGCGTCTTTGTACTTTTGGGTCTTTTGCCTCAGGTAAGGAAGGCAGGGCACTCACTCACTCTCTGCACCTGGGACATGACACCACCCGGCACTCCTCCTGCTACACATGTACCAGGGGTTAGTTTTAGGGGATAGGCACGCACAGCAGTGAGACCCTCGCATAGGCTTGTTTTTTTTTCGCGACGCAGAGCCCTCCTACAGCAGTAGTCGTCGCGCGCATCGCGCTAACTCTCTCACCGGTGTAGCATAAAGCATCCCAACACCCCCTTCACAAATCTTCAGGATTGTTCTCCCCACCTTCATGACAATCGCCGGGTGGGCCTCTCCGTTGCGCATGTACACCACGGATTCTCCCTCTGCCACGGAGCGAAAACCGCAGCAGTTGGAGGAGGAGTTCAACAAGAAACTCACGGGGGCGATTCGAACAAGCGAAACCGAAGACAAGGGGGGTCGGCTTGTCCAACCCTCACTTATGTAGTAGCCGGCACTGCTACAACCAATACCATGGTGTGGCTGGCGGGCGTCATAAATGACGGCTTCGCTCGGCACAAGGCTACTATTCTTGCCCGTATGGCCTATACCACGGACTGACAGAATGAATTTCCAAATCGGTTCAATTTGTTCCCCGACGCAAAACCCCAAAAGACTTCAAGCAGGACACAGGAGGCTACCAAACAAATTTACGCTTTTCGTGCACCATCCACCTTTTTTATTCGGAGCCCGTATAGACAAAACCACCGCCAATCTACACAAGCAGAGACAACCCAAACCACGTCGGATCGTGGCAATCTTCTCGTCGTCCAACCACTTCAGATTACAACAAACAACATACTCCCTCCTCATATGCATACCCCGGTCTGTTCCCGAATAAAGGGCATCGAAACTGAGGTGTTGCTCCGCCGCCCCCGATCGTCTTTTCAAGACGCGACGGACATCCTCTAGGCTTGTGGCACACGAAAAGGACGGCGGTGGTGCCTTCTCGCCCCGAAAAGACATAAATCTCTCAAATCTCACCGCTATACCCCCCGTTCGCCGACCTGGCGGCAGCTTCTTCTGCCTCCCTCTTTGCTATCGCCGCCTCCGCCTCCGCGGTAACGCCTTCCAACACGCCGACGACGCCCCCCGCTACCCGTCCGCCGCCGGTGCCGTGCCCGTACCGTCGAGCGACGTCCAGCGGGGTTTCCCCGTCGGCGTTTCTTCGGAGCGGGTCCGCTCCCCGATCCAGCAGCAGGCGGGTCGAGTCCGTGTTTCCGGTGGTAGCGGCGGCGTGGAGGGGGGTGTCGCCGCCGCTGCCGACGGTGTTCACGGACCTCCCCTGCCATGTGTGTGTGGGATTGTCGCATGTTGAGGTCTGCGATTAACTTGGGGGGCTGCCCCTGGATGGGAAGGGGGGGCGGGGTCGCCTCCGACGGTGTTCACGGATCTTCCGTACCGTTTGGAGCGTTGTGGGTGGGTCTGTGGAATATGCAAGTGAGTTCTGTGTTACGGTCTTTGCTTCGATCGGGGGGGGTGGGGGGGTTGCCACAATTTACATTATATTGGTGTGTGTCGGGTTACACCTGTGTGTGTTCCGAATGTGCTCGGTGCGGTAAGAGCATCAACGTATATCGGGTGCGAGAACAGATAATCAAAAGCGAGTGTCTGGCATGGGTGCAAAGCCGAGATTCCGATCTCTCCACGCCGCGGTCACACACAACACACACCATACCGTTTGTTGTCATTAACCCGGAGAGTAGCTTAGCCTCCCCCATGACGCCCCCTCACGTGGTCCCAGACCATGGCCTTTAGAAGCATTTTCTGCTTTCAGCCGCGCTGAGACTGACGTATTGCCATTGGTTAGCGCGTTCGATGCCAACAATAACGGCACGCACATGCCCCCGTTAGCGGAGGAACCTTACCTTAGCTACCTCCGCCACAAGGTTGTCCAGCATGCCCCTCGCGGCGCAGTAGTGCAGGGGGCACAGCAGCGTCAACGCCGTATCGGTTTTGGCGAGCATTACAGGCGTGCTCCCCTTCATGTTCTCCAGCGTGGGACTCGCACCTGAAACCGCCAAAAAAACAAAAAGCGCTTTAGCCGTAAGACGCAGAGAGATGGCACCCCAGGTAGACAAAATTCCAAAGCTAGATTGCTCCGCAGGAGCCCGATACTACGTCTAATGAAAGTTCTCAACGAGATTTTTTTCCGAATCCATGATTTTTGGTGTTGGCGCAAGCGCTTGGTTGTGGACCAATCGATGTTTGAAAATCGGTCTGGGGGGGGTACCATCTCTCCGCCTCTCTTACGATATTTACTTTTTCACTTCAAATGTGTCGCCGGGAGTTCCATTCAAGGAGGGGTTCCATTCAAGGAGGGGTTCCATTCAAGGAGGGATTAAAGGTGTCGGCGGCGAGAGCAGGAGGTGTGACGGATCAAACCCGGAAAGGTGATAACTATATCCGAGGGAATCGAGCGTGTGTGAGGCGGCAGGTTCTGGATCGCACAGCTAGAACGTTAACGTCAATGTTGGGAAACATTCTAAATAGATGTTGGCGCTGAGCCCGGGAGAGACGGGGGTAGACAACAAGGACAACGACCACCTCGTGCCACGATCTCCTCTGCCGAGGGTTTGCCCGCAATGGCAAACAAGTTCACACGACGAGAGGATACGCCGGTAGCGTCGCCACTTCTTGACATCTGTGTGTGTCGTGATTTTCTTCCCTGCTGCCCCCTCTCAACCTAGTGTATGAAGAGCCCACATTACCAAAAATTTACTCAACTGCGGAACGGGGCCTCTTGCATTCCATGTAGACCATATCACCTTACGTAGCGTCAGAGGAGAGAGTACCCAACAGCTGCACCATTCCCATTTGCACGAGCACAAACGGCCACAACGAGCTCTGAGGGCCCGGCTTGCTGGCTAGCACAGGCGATTGCTGCTACATATATGCATGTATTGATAGAAGAGCCTCGCTGCTGCTGCTGCAGGCGTCTCTGTCTCGCAGCAATTGTTGCCTGACCACATTGACTCCATCAGAAAGAAACAAGAAGAAGGAGAGAGCGAGGAGGAGGAGGTTTGTGCTTCTCCTCCTCCCGTCAAGCAGCAAGAAGAAGAGGATGGCGCCGCCACGGCAGCGGAGGGTGCCTCGGGGCATCCCCCCGCCGCCGCCGCTTCGAGCTCTCAATAC